TATATATAGGAAGTAGCAGTATCACTATACTATTATTAGCAGGCGGGATAGCGCAGAAAATTGAATGTGTACCAAAAGGCCTTCCTGTTTGGCGTTCTTCTTGGTCGGTGATAAATGAAGGAATCATCGATAGTTACTTTTCATTGTTCTAACACAGCATGCCCCAATGGAACAATCACGTTATTATGATTATTATTGGGTACTGGACATTGTTGGCGCCAACTCACAATAGGGCCATTATGAATTTGGTGTCGTCGTTTTTACTCCAACTTAACAAGTTGCGCCATCACTACATCAGTTAAAATGAAGCGATAAGTATGTGTGACAGAAACACTGGACCTCAGATTCCATGTCTAATGAACTGTTTTAGCGAAAGGCAGAGTTAAATATAGTTTTTGAGTCAGCATCAAATATAAACTATCTAACTTCGCAGTCGCTTTCTCGCTTACAGGTTCGTAAAAGAACGTAAATTTTACCTGTTTTGACACGCAGCTGAAGATTCGCTGTATAAATCTAATAAAAAAAAAATTCGACAGAACGTCGTTTTATATCGACTGCTTCATTGCTTCTACGTGTAACTTAAATCTAGCAGCTATTTTTTTTGCCTAAGCCGACGAACGAATTCTGTTGACGGAGCGCTGATCAATTAATATTTCACGTGCTTCCACCACCTTTGCCCATTAGCGGCCAAATCTCTGAGGACAAATTAAGGCCTACTGAAAACCGTGGAGGCAGAAGGTGTCGCCTGGAGCCCAGATAAACCCCGCGACAAATATGACCGCCTGACCCAACACGTCCACCCATTTGCACGTATGTCAGTAATGAGCATCCATTTCTGGGGATCGCGGCACTGGGAAATTGCTGTTCACCTGTAGCAACATGTATGTATCGGCCCTAACAACTATTTCTTGCTGTCGTCATCTTGCTTAAACCATTTAACATATGAGAAGTATTATCGTATTATAATACTAGAGAAATATTCGAACGTAAACCGGCCTTGTCATAGGCGAAGCTTTTGCGAACAAACGTATTTTGTTCCAGCACCTCCCATTGCAATGTCACAGTGGCATCGTATATTAGTTCAATACGAATCTTGTTAAGACTGCACTAAAAAGGGACGTTGACATAGGCCTCAAATAGCTCCCGTGCTATTTAGAACACCAATCGATAACGGCGGCCATGGCTGTGTTGCTCGAGCGAAATAAGCGTGCTACGAGATCGGCGTTTCTTTCAAAATGTTTGATTACATTTTTGCAGGGCATTTCGCTACTGGGGGGGCGTGACAATGCTAGAATTTAGCGTGCTTGCTGCTATAAGAGTTACACTATATTTGTATTTGCATTTGTCGACCCGAATTTACCCGTTTATCAAAGGTCTCTGGACAGTCCGATCAAACTGAACTCCGATGTCTATCAAAAGAAAACTGATACCGGAATTTACTCCGGTGATTATTATTTTGATGCCTTTTATTAGGACACAAATCGACAGTCTGAGGCGGTCTGGGTTTGTACAATCAAATGTCCTTTATGTACGTGCCTCAATTGGAAACGGTAAACGTATAGTAGTATATCCGTCAAGGTGAGACACCTGCGCTGAACGGATACGTTCATGCTTTTTTCGTGCCGAGGCTTCACTGACCGCCAGTTGTGTTAAATCAGGTCGATCGTCTATTTCAGCTCAAAAAACTCCAAAACTGGTCAACTGCCGAAATGATCCATTGTCGTCTATGGGCGCCCATGATTTCGAACAACGAAAGAAAACGAAGCTGTTCTCATTAAAGGAAATAGAGTTCAAGAGTAAAGATGTCGATCGAATGCAACGATCAATTGTGCGTGGCCATGTTGGGAGCAGTTGAGTAACAAAATCCAGTAAAAAAAAAAAGTCTTCAAACGAAATGAGTAGACTGCAGATGCTTTCAGATTTGCCCTTTTCGAATCTTGTTGGACAGATGGTACTTTAAACAGACGGTCATCATTTAAATTTGAGTTGAACAGAATTTAAGTTTTTGTCAAAGTACCGGTAGCTAATTCAAAAATGTCTGAATTTGGAATAGAACTAATTCTTATGTAATTTTTTCCTATGTAATAATAATAACGTCAAAAGTTTGTGCTATTGGGTAATAATGTCCTGGTCGCACGAACTCATACTTAATAGTTGGAATATAGTAGCAAGCGGTAAACGTCTCGTGTTAGGTGTCATGGGATCCGTTCATTTTTACTTCGTTATTGTTAGTTAATGTAAGCGTTTTTTGTCGTAGCAATTTGCTCGTCTTGGTAAAGCAGCCAGATACACATCCAGACGCATGTCCGTATGAACGTACACTTCTAGCCGTTGTGTTCACTCACGCGAACGTATTGGTACTTAGATCCGTTGTTCGTACACCAGTTTCAACTTCACAACTTCTGATAACAACTCTCATTCCCCTATTATCAGCAGGGCTGCAACAATGTCACCGCCGTATTCCCCAGTTACGAAACGAAGTGTAGCCAAAGCAACCCTACTCGGCCTGGTCAACCCTAGTAACGTATGAATTAACGGCAAGCATAACCCCAGACCCGCATCAAAATCACCAACGGAATCCAACATCTGTGTTGCATTTTTCGATCTGCTCAAGTCTGGCAATGATGCACGGATGTCACGTAATGGCCGCGTTGACTGCCATCGCCAGTGGTACAAGGCGACCCGTATTCTCTAAGATAAATATGTCAGTGTGGGTTACTAGTCTCATCGTGGACGAAGTACTAAACGTTACTGTTGTATCTAGCATAGAAACAACAAGTAGAAGGGTCTGCAATAATATACAATTTTTTGACCAATGAGGGCAGCGGCAGTGGCTCTGACGACGCAAACGGCGAAAATAAGCCTCAAAGGTCACAGGGCCAACCGGTTAAATGTATGCAGATCGACGCGTTGTTGCTGTCGAGGTCGCGATGGCGCAGGGGGGCCAACAAATCCAATAAAAAAGTAGTCAGCAGCGTGTGCATCGGTCGAGAATTAGCGGCCGACTTAGTGCCTAGTTAGCATCCACTGCCGAAGTCTTACCGCATGGATCGATTGGATAGATTGAAGCAGGCTTCTCTTGGCCTACTGTACCTCTGGCCCATTAGTCCTCCCGCGCCCCTACGATGATTAAATGCAGGGAACATGTTCGTCTGTAACCCCATGCAGCGCAGTGGATACTCAGAAGATAATAACTACAATGCATACGACTACGCTACACACACACATACACCAAGACCTATAAACATTATCACAAACGCTTGACGGGAAATAGCGTCGGGGGGTGCAGCGTGATGAAATTAATCGTAGTTACGTTTTCCCGTTGATGTGGCAGCGTGCACGGATATTAGATGCAGAAAAAAGGAATTAGGGCTGCTGTTGTATGTATGGTCGACCAGCTGATTGGATGGCTGAACCCAAAATAGGGGGTTTCGATTGTGACGCCCATCACTGACCGCAGCGGTGCGGAGCATACAATTGAATTAGTTAAGAATCATGGCAGGCATAATCGTCTTTACGCTCAGATGGCCGCCGCAATACCGTTAACCCTCGTAGATGTTAACGAAGAAAAGCGCCGTCGCAAACATCATTGCCGTTTTTGCCCGTTAGCGACGCGGTCTTGCTGGTGCTATTACTGTGTGGCGGAAATAGTCTCTAGCACTAATTATGTATTAGATACAAAAAGGACACAACTGTTTGATACCTGGCGAAAAAGACGATTGTTAGTAGGACAACAAGATGGACCGCGGAAACGCAAAATTTGTCGCTACGCGCATGGACTCTGTGCTAAAGAATTCGTGTAAATATCACAATCTAGACATAGCCGCTGTGTGACTCGCTGTTTCGTGCTAGCGACGCCCCATAGGCTCGTGATGAAAATGATCTTAGCCAATGTGTATATGTAACTATAACGTTATAGATATAGCTCTTCAAAAGGACCAGCGGCCACTTCATTTGGCGTTAAAGTATCAGCCAAACTTGTTTATACAGTAGTATGGTGTACCATACATTGGCTTTCAACACTATCACTTTAGCGGCTGATTTTTGCGGAAAACGCCGTTCAGACGTTTCCTCTGTCTGTTCAGTGTTCGATAATTGAACCGATGAGGGTGTATGCACCTTTCTCGTTCATGGTCGTGTTAGGATCAACAGCGAGCAGCGCCGCTTGTCACGGCTTGATGCAATTTATCGTATTGTGTGAGACGCTTTTTTGGCGACACATTATTTCGCGGCTGTCCGATGCCGCCGTTTTCAGCGGACGGAAACGAGCGTCATGCAGAAAATGGACGATGTCCATTTCAATTTCGGTATTCTGTCGTTTTCTATTCGAATGTTTTGCTTAGACTCACATTACGATCATCGGTCGCATGGCTGGCATGCGTTGATTGTCTAATGTACCGTCGCCTTTTTTGAGGCAGCAACGAGCAACCGTTGTTTGGCTCGGCAATGACTCTTGTCATGTTTTTTGTACGGAAGCACAAATTCACTTGTGTCACTGGTATCGTCAGCTGATGGTCGATGCCGCTGCTGCACCGGCGGACCTCTACTTACCAATCGTATGGATTGAAAACCTTACTCGGAGCGGCTACACTGACGAATTTTGCGCTTGTGGGAAGAACGGCTAATCGACATTCATAACATAACAGCATAAATCTTCCGTTTCGGCGTGCATGCGGTGCAAGCTCTACTGTGGAACGGCTCCCTGGATACCTGTAGGGAAACAACCGCCAGTACCAATTACACAGTGTTCCTGTCTCATTGGGGGCGCCCCGTTCAACGTGATGTCCATGGCTATCTCGTTGGACCGACGAAAAATAGATAGGGGTTCAGCACAGCAGATATGACAAGAATGGAGACGAACTCCATGCATGTCCCTTTCTGCCATGATTTGTCTCCATTTGAAAGAAAATGGCTGGGTTTCGCTTTCAACTCGGTTGCTCATGAACTGTGCTACTCCACACAAGTTCATTGCTTCCGTAGCCAGCAGATATTAAATTTTTGTTCTTGGGCAGGATACTCGTAACCGACATCCTCATAGGCGGTCTCTGACGATTTGTTGAAGACATAACGGATGAGTATCTAAGTGCGGGCATTTATTTCTAGGTCGAATTGACATCAACTATTAGAATTTTGGTAACAACAATTTTTTCGGAAGGTTCCAGTTTTGTTTGTGATGCCAGCTTTCCGCTAGCTATTTTCCCCTGTTCAAAATCTTAGGTTGGTGAGCTAGTTCTAATACTTCCAGCACAAGTTATTGTAGTATAAACAAACGTACTAGCATATCGTAAGTTCTGCTTCAATTACGTCTCGCTTTTACAGGTAAGTATTTTGTCGAGCGGTTGGCAACAATGAACCGCCAATGATGGCACCAACACAGCTCAGGCGCTCGGCTGCTTCAAACGTAATTCAACAACATTGCTGATTGAGGTCTGGAGTTTAGTCAGCGAAGAATCCACCTTCCCTCTTGCTGTCACTGAGCAACAACGCTTCATTGACGAAACGAATAATGTTAATGTAGAAAAAGCACGCGGAGGTTTTTTGTAGTTTTTCAGTCTTCGCATCAGCTCCGAGCTAAGTAAGAGGGAAAGAAGCTTGAGTGTTTTTGAAGACTTTGATCTAGTCGGTTAGCGTTCCCAGGTGCTTCTTGGCTTATGCTGTGATATTTCGTTACGTCTACCTTTACCCACTTAACATGGACCAGTGAGCGCGTTCAACGATGATCATGGAACTTTTCTGACGATGATGCAGTTACTTACGTACGTGGACGTGAACGCGACGTTGACATACGACCAACCACACCAAGTGACATAGATGCTGCCATAGTATTACAGCAGTAGAAAGATCGGCTGCGCGAAAAGCGCTGCGACTTTTTTGGGGCGCATCCTCTTGTATATATGTAGATATATATATATATATATATATATAAGAGGATGCTATATAGTCTCATGCTATATGCGATAGTAAAGCTATAACTATTTATATGATGGCCATTGTAATGCGTGCAATTGTCACCGATATGATAAAAGTATTACTGCCAGCTATTGGAGTCCTTGCGCTTTTGCGTTAAGCTATTTACGTTGCGCTACTGTTTCGGCGAGCGACTGCCACCAATGTAAAACACGGTAATAGATGTGCGTTTTCTGAACAAGTCTCGGTTTCTCAATAGCTAGATCTCACAAGCAGCTCTAGAACAAGAGCTAATATTAGCACTTAGGTCCCGTCAGCTCTTACCGAACGGTAAACACTACATTAATCGAGCTAGGGGCAAAGGAGGATTTACCAGCGACCAGCAGCCTGTATTCGCCAACACCGAAATCAATAACGGTTCTGCCGAGGTAGTGTAAGTTGATGTCTAAGACGAGAACATTAACTTTCCGCTAACTTGACCCTAACAAACGAAACTTTTTGAAAACAAAGATAGCCGCCACGCCCGCTTCGTTGCCTTTGGCCAAACTATGACTACTTTCAGGGTTGGGCGATCCAAGACAGACGTCGCTGTGGATCGCCGTTCCAATGCAATACAAGGCTATATCATTTGTGAGAGGTGCTGCTAATAACCGACGGTAAGCCACTGTTATGCGTTCGCCTTATTCAATTGAGCAGAAAGAATTTGGCCTACCGTTGCTGGGCTTCAGAGGGACGATCCTGGTCTGAGCATCCGCACGCAATAGCTGCTATGGCAGTGTCAGCAAGCATTTTCGCTAGTTGAATAGGGTAGGGCAGGTTAACGGGGGATGAGGTAAAGTTAAAGGTCGTTGCTTGCTGGAACTCCTGGCCACGTCGTGGAACCAGAACCGAGGGAACCAAAGCCTCGAAGCTAATGCTGGTATGCACTTTGCTGGTGAATGAAGCCTTCCACGCCGCTTGGTGGCGTGGAAATAGCTAGCCAGATAAAAGGCGGAGCGAATAATAAATTCATATCTTCAGCAGAGACAGGCTTCAATCTACTTTTCCTATCTTTAGTGGACTAAATTTTAGTTGCTGTAGGCGTATCGCTATGGAGAAGTATGTACCTATGCAGAAGTAAACGAAGTAAGAAAAATTACAACATTTTTTTTAGAAGACTGATTTTGGAAGCAGTTGGTACCTACTGATACTTCAATTTTCCGTAATTCTAATAGTTTCAGAGGAGCGTATCGCTATGTTTTAAAACGAATTGTAATAAGAAATTCCACTGCAGATAGTGAAGTTCTAATTTCTAAAGACTTTTTGAAAAAATCTCTTTTTCTCTTCTAATACTTTTTAAGAGAAGACTATGAACGTCGTTAAAAATTGATCTTCACCTAAGGGTATTCACATTAAATCTAGCCAGTCGAATTATTTAGTACAGTAAACAGCTAGGTATAGATGTTATTGCTATTGAGTTAATAATAAAGAAAACGATAATTCATTGTGTGTGTGCCACACAAAATACATATCTTATTATGTAACACTCAATAAACCCTTGACAGATACGAAGGAACATTGAACTGCCATTGCGTTCTCGAAAATTCGAAAGAACGAGGGCCTTCCTCAGTAGGACCGGTGCATCGTTTGTACTGATTTAGACCTGTGGGAGTCGCTGTGTTACCACTAGCACCAGCCTAATCCAGTGGGCTACTGTAGCTGCGCGAATACAAGTTAGCAGAGAGCACAGAGAGCATTAGCCCCCCTAAGTGACAC